GCCTTTCATAACAACAGTACTTAAAGTGGTAACAGCCAACGAAATACTTTTAAGGTGAAGCCACTATTGTACTGTAGGAAACATGACAATGCTGTCTGTGAGATCTTGTGTAGAAATGCAATGTAATGTTGACTAGATGCCCTGGTTTTAGTGATGCTGATTTAAAGGTTAAATGTTGGCAAGGACACTGAAGAAAACTGCTGTAAACTGCTTCAAACAGCATTATAGGATAGATCCCTTCCAAGTGAGAGGGGTCAAACACCACATTCAGCACAAGTTTCTTGCTTTTGCACTTCCTGGTGCTCTCTGTATAAATTGAGAATTCCATTATGTTTTTAATGGGCTTATCAACTCGATCATCCATCTTCGTAGACTTGAGTGCATGTGACCATTCAGTTACATGTATGTTCCCAGTTGATGAGTGACACATGTGGTTTAAAGATGACACTGTGATGGATGCTGGATTGCCTGTTAAAACAGACAATAAACAAATTATTTTCTTTACAGTTGGAGGAAGTCTTCACGATAATTTACAACAGTGGGCTCAATGTGTACTCGCTGTACATGGACTGTGCTGGGGGAATACACAAAAATAACATGCGCTTCCTCAAAGACCTCCAGAACATCTTTCAATTTTACCAGTTTGAAGTAGTGGAGGTAGAAACTGTCTCTTTATTCTGTGTAAAATCTCAATGTACTAACCCCTTCCCATTCACTCCCACTATACAGAATCCTATTGAGCCATACCTTAAGAGGTTAACCAGGGAAAGAGTAGAATCCATTCGGGACCAAGGGGGCGATCCATGTATGAAGCCAGAGGACATTCGTAGGGTGTTAAACAAGCCTGTCTTCACTTTGGAGAAGGAGGATGTCTGTACAGAATTCAGGAAGAGGGACTGAGGTACTTGAGCAGTTTGACATAGGGAGTGAGGAGGTACTGGAGGTTTTGGCAGGCTTAAAAGTGGACAAATCCCCACATCCAGATGATTGTATCGCAGGCTGCTCTGGGAGACAAGGGAGAAAATACAGGGGCTCTGACCCAAATTGTTAATTCCTCTCTGGCCACAGGGGAGGTACCAAAGGACTGAAGTATAACTAATATGGTTCTACTTTTCAAGAAAGGTAGTAGAGATAGACCAGGGAATTATACACCACTGAGTCTCTTGGGAAACGTTTGGAGAAAATTCTGAAAGAGGGAATTGATCTCAACTTGGAGAGGCAAGGTTTGATCAAGGACAGTCAGCATGGCTTTGTCAGAGGGAGGCCATGCCTCACAAGTTTGATTGAATTTTTTGAGGTGATGATCAGGTGTGTAGATGAGGGTAGTGCAGTTGATGTAGTTTATGTGGATTTGAGCAAAGCCTTTGACAAGATTCCAAACTTGACAAGTTGGATTCTAAATTGGCTTAGTGACAGAAGACAGAGGGTGGGGGTAGAGGGCTGTTGTTTGACTGGAGGTCAGTGTCCAGTGGTGTACCACAGTTATCAGTGCGGGGTCCATTACTGTTCATGTATATATAAACAACAATATACAGGCCGTAACGAAAACATAAGTTGCTGGAAAAGCTCAGCAGGTCTGGCAGCATCGGTGAAGGAAAAAACCGAGTTAACGTTTCGGGTCCGGTGACCCTTCCTCAGAGGTGGTGCACTTCGGAAAAAGTCACAAGACAAGGGAATGAATGGTAGGACACTAGGAAGCTCTGAGAAATAGAGGAATCTTGGGTTTCTTGTCCACAGATTCCTGGAGGGGGCAGAACAGGTTAAAAGGGTACTTAAGAAGGCATACGGGATGCTTGCCTTTATTGTTCATGGCAGAGATTCGAACAGCAGGAAGATTATGTTGGAGCTGTACAGTACTTTGGTTAAGCCACAACTGGAGTACTGTGTGCGGTTCTGGTCACTGCACGATAGGAAGGATGTGACTGTACTGGAGAAGGTGCAGAGGATATTCCGCAAGATGATGCCTTGGATGGAGCAGGATAGCTATAAAGAGGCTTGTGTTGTTTTCTTTGTTAGAGTAAACAAGGTTGAAGGAGGAACCTGATTAGAGGTGTATAAGATTATGAGGAGTATGGACAGGGTGGATAAAAAGCAGCTGTTCCCTTTAGTTGAAGGTTCAATGCAAGGGAAAGGCAGGAGATTTAGAGAGGATTTGAGGAAAAGCCGTTTCACCCAGAGGGTGGTAAAGGTCTAGAGAATACACTGCCTGGGAAGGTTGTTGAGGCGGAAAATCTGACAACCTTTTTAGAAAGTATTTGGATGAGTACTTGAAATGTCATAACACTCAAGGCTATGGACCAAATGGGACCAATATAGACTTAGATGTAGATGTAGCTTTTGTCAGTGCAGTTACAATGGGCTGAAGGGCCTCTTCTGCACTATGATTCTATGGTTCTTCCCATTCGCTCCAATTCTATAGAATCCCAATGGACCCAACCACTTCCCATTCTCTTCAATTTGACAGATTATTAATGGTCTGTTCTGATTGATAGTTCTTGAATGTGCTTAGTTAAATTTATACTTAGTTCTTAAGTACATTTTGTAATGATTTTGCTTATCTTTCTTTGATAATCTAGGTTTAGTTGTTTTGCGTGAAAAGCTTCTTGTGGTATATTCTTCTGCTGTAAGTCACTCTTGCTTCATTACCAGGACTCCGATGATTCCAGTAACTTAGTTCCTCCATGTATTAATGGTACAGCTCAGAATGCATGGCTAAATCGTGCAGATGTGAGAAAGGCCCTCCATATTCCACAAATTGTCCCAGCCTGGGACATCTGCAGGTAAGACAACGTGAGCAAATATACCTTTCATCAGCTACCTTGGTTTAATCCCCTTTCCTAACAAACATCTATCTTATCAAATACCTTTTCAAAAACTAAATTAACCACCTTTTTATAGGTCATCCTTCCCTGTTCTAAATTGAATCTGGGTTTCATTTTGATTTATATGTTCCAACCAGAGCTAAACAATCTTTTTTCCTTGCAGTGATGTGGTTGGTGAAAAGTACCATCGTGTCTATCCCACAATGCATGACTTCTACATGAAGCTGCTCAGTAAGGGTCTCCGTGTGCTGGTCTACAATGGGGATACAGACATGGCTTGCAACTTCCTGGGCGATAACTGGTTTGTGCAGTCATTGAATCAGAAGGTACATAGGAGTCAAAATGACTTTTTTTTTTCCACTGCTGGGCAGATTCTGGCACAGTGGGGTAATAGTATGTTTGTGAGCAATGTTTATGCAGGTCACTAATATGGGGAAAAATAACCATGAGCCTTTGCACTCAGGGTGGGAGCTCTGCCTTTGAACTCCAGTAAGAACCAAGCTATAGATGTGTCATTCCCAACGACTGACTAACTACATGACTGTCTAACCTATCTTCCCACAGAAAACCCGAGACTATCAACCATGGACTTACAATAAACAGATCGCAGGGTTCTACGAACAGTACGGGAACCTCACCTTCCTGACTGTCAAGGTAACTCCAACATCTTTTTGTATCAATTTTCATTTAGAATTGGCAGGGTCTTTTGTGCAATCATGATATTTGCATCTACAGTGACACTCTCAATAGGAGTGTAACATGAGATAGGCTGCAGTCTGATCGCTAATCACCTAACGAGCAAATGTGATTATTAGGCTTAACCGAGAAAGAAAGACTCGTAACACATTTTTCTAAAGTTAGCAAATGATTGAACATCAATTGCCCTTTGCAGAACTTCCAAGCTTGTACTTTTTTGCATGTAGACCTAATTTCTTTCCTCATTTCATTCCTGAAAGATCTGACTTCTCTTTTAGAGCTTGCCTCCTAGTGCTAGATTCTGCAATAAGAAATTGCTTCTTTCTATTCAAGCTCAATATCTTGAATATATTAGGTATCACCCCGCAACTTCCTAAATTCCATGGAATACAGCCCTAGTTTGCTTAATCCCTCTTTGTTCGCTGACCATGTTGGTTAAGCTGCAATGTGCTTTGCTGAATTGAGTGCTAAAGTTGGGAATTTGGTGCCAATGGGAAAGGTGAGGTTGGGGGGCTGCTTGTTATTCTTTTACTTCCAGTGGCTGGTGAGTGTCCCTCTTTAGTTTCCAAAGTAAGTGACTAATTTGTTATTATTTTATTACATTACTAACTGGCTAGCTAATCAGTAAATAAGGATAGATAGACATGGTGAAGTTGAACTGCAGTATGTGAATGTTTGTGAACAGCATTGCAATCCCAGACTATGTTACCTGTTATAAGAATCTGCCATTTGAGAAACTTCAGACCACAGTTGGGATCAGGACTGCAGACAGTGTAGAGCAGAAGGGAGACCAATCATCAACAGTAAAGTCGGAGGCTGTTCTGCTGAGAGAGTTTGAAGAGTTAGGGTCCAAATTAAAATGCACATTCAAAAGTGGTAATTTCTGGAATGTTAAACCCAAACCAAAGAATCATACCATACAAATGATGTCCCAGTCACCACCAGCACCATCCTTGGGTACATGTCCTACCATTTGGAGGAAGCACTAAGAGTGGCAAGAACACAGAACTATTCTGGGTGGGTGATGTCACTGTCCAGCACCACTACTGATTTGAGCTGGTTGAATCCTAACAGACATAGATATTGGATTGCATTTGGGCCAAGTGGTGATGGAAACAACAAAGGGAAAACAGACTTGACCTCATCCTCACCAATTTGCCTGCTGCAGTTACAGTAGTTATTGTGAAGTCCCTGGCTTCATGTTGAGAATACTCTCCATTGTGTTGTGTGACACTACCACTGTCCTAACTCGGAAAGATTTTGAACAGATCTAGCAACTAAAGATTGGGCATCCATAAGCTCAGCACACATTCTGTAACCTCAAGCTTGGCATAGCCCCGGCTCTACCATTACCACCAAGCAAGGGGATCAACCCTGTTTCAATGAAGAGTGTAGGAGGGCATGCTAGGAGCACGACCAGGCTTTTCTTAAAAACTGGATATCAACCTAGTGAATCCATAACACCGGATTACTTGCATGCCAAACAGCAGATCAGCAAGAGATGGACAGGACTAAGCAATTCCACAGGCAATGGATCAGATCTAAGCTCTGCATTCCTACCACATCTAATCACAAATAGTGGGAGACAATTCAACAACTCGCTGGAGAAGAAAGTTCTACAAATATTTCCATCCTCAATGATGGAAGAGCTAAGCATATCAGTGCAAAAGGTAAGGCTGAAGCATTGGCAATAATCGTCCGCCAGAAGTACCAAGTTCATGGACCATCTTGGCCTCCTCCAGAGGGACCCAACATCAATTCACTACATCTCCTATGAAGAAACAGTTAGAAGTTAGTGATACTGCAAAGGATTTGGGGTCCTGACAATATTCCAGCAATAGTACTGAAGACCTGTTTTCCTAGCACAGTTATTCCAGTACAACTACAACACCGACTCTACCCAACATTGCGGAAGATTGGTCAGGTATGTCCTGTGCACAAAAAGCAAGACTGACCCAACTCAGCCAATTGCCACCCATCAGTCTACTCCTCAATAGAGCCATCAAGCAGCATTTGCTTAGCAGCAACCTGCCAAATGACATTTAGTTTGGGTTCTAAAAAGGCCTCTCACTTGGCTTCTGACATCATTATAGCAAACATGGACAATGGAGCTGAATTCCAGAGGTGGGGTGAGAGTAATTGTCCATGAAATTAAGGCCACATTTGACCGAGAGTAGCATTAGGGAGCCTCTGCAAATGAAGAGTTAATGGAAATCGGTGGGAGAAGGGAGAGAAGCCTCTCCATTTGTTTCTAGTCTACTGGGGAAGGTAAGGTACAAGGAAAGATGATTTGCTTGTTGGAGGCGAGTCTTCTCTACTCCAGGGCGTCACTGCCGATATGCAACGATCAATGAACTTGGAGAAACAATCTTCAGCTCCATTTGCAACTCCTCTGATACTGAAGCAGTCCATGTCCAAATATACCAAGACCTGGATAATGTCCACCCTTAGGCTGTCAAGTTGTAAATAACATTCATGCCTCACAAATATTAGGTAATGACCATCTCCAACAGGAGATGCTAAACATCACCCTTGACATTTAGTGGCATTACTCCTACTGTTAACATCCTGGGAGTTATTGACCAGAAATTGAACCGGACTAGCCATTTAAACATTGTGGCTACAACAGCAGGTCAAAGATTAGGAATTCTGCAGTAACTCGCTTCCTGACTCCCTAAAGCCTGTTTACCATCAACAAGTCAGGAATGTGATGGAATACTCCCCACTTGCCTGGATAAGTGTGACTCCAGCAACACTCAAGCTTGACACCATCCAGGACAAAGCAACCCCCTTGACTGGCACTATATCCACACCCTCCACCACTGATGCTCAGTAGCAATTGTGTGCACTATCGACAAGATATGTTGCAGAAATTCACTACGGCTCCTCAGACAGCACCTTCCAAACCCACCACCACTTGCATCTAGAAGGATCAGGGCAGCAGATACATGGGAACACCACCATCTGCAGGTTCCCCTCCAAGCCACTCACCATCCTGACTTGGAAATATATCGCCATTCCTTTACTGTCGCTGGGTCAAAATCCTGGAATTCCCTCCCTCAGGGCATTATAGCTCAACCCATAACACATGGACTGCAGCGGTTCAAGAAGGCAGCTCATTACCACCTTCTTGAAGACAAATAGTGATGGTGAATAAACATTGGCCCAGCCAGTGAAGCTTCATATCACCTAAATAGTCTATTTTTAGAAATCATTACGATCATTATTAGATCAATTTTTCTCACTCAGACTGTTAACAAAATCTGGCTCATTACTTAATTCCCAATCTAATATACCAGTCATCTTGTTGATTATGTGACACCACTAGTGAATGATTAGTCTAAACACAGTTGGGATTCACAAAATTGTTCCTAATGTGTTGGTCGTCATATTGTAATCTATATGAAAGTTAATATCTCCCATTTTAAACCACTCTGCCTTTGCTACATGTTTATCAAATCTCATCTACAAGGGAGCTCCTACTGAGCCTTGCATCCTAGCCTATTTGTTCATTCTATCCAGAAAGTCTCCATTTCCAGCTTACCCTCTCATTATAACCTGTTAGCATTTCATCACATCAGAGTGTTTGGTCCTCTACTATTTTCCACATCTTTCCTGCGGACATTATAACCTGATCTATTTATATCCCATTACTACCTGTCTTGCAGCCACATCTCAGTAATGGTTGCCATGTCAACCCTCCAAGTTGAATTTGTGACTATGATTCATTTAATTTGTTCCTTTATATTCTGCATATTTCTATAATGAAAATATGTCAGGATCACACTCCCTAATATGCATTTCCAGCCTAATGTTTTACTGGCATGTTTCTTATTTCTCACTCCTCCATTTAATTATTTAACATCTTTCCATTTCCTCTTTGACCTCCAGTGCCAAAAACAGTTTCTGGCACTTTCTCTGCCTGGTTGTTTTTGAACTATTACAGATACTAACTAGCCTGAGCTCTCCCTGTCTCACTAGTTTAAAGTCCGTGTGACTGCCCAATTTACCCATTCCTCTAACATTTTGCTCTCAGCCCAGTTTATGTTGTGCCTGTCCTGTAAGTGCAATTTCTTCCTGACTCATGAAATGGAACTCCTTTCTGAAACCACTCCTTTAGCTGCATGTTTATTTATTATCTGTTAATAATTAATTTGAGATGGGTCAGGTAGTAATAGTCATTATAACCCTTGAGGTCCTGTCCTGCATTTTAGCTTCTAATTCATGTTACACCTTTTGTCTACTTGTTGGTCTCAACATGGATTATCAGCAACTGGGTCCTACCCCTTCTTCTCCATTGAATTTTTATAGGTGGTTGGAGATGTCCCTCATCCTGACAATGAGAAGCTGGCACAAATGTGGGACCTGCTTCTGCATAGAAAGAACACTATCTGTCCTAAATATTGAACCTCTACAACTGCCACATTTCACTTGTTCCTCCTCATTTGTGGCTGTTGGATAGGATCAGGTTCTGTGGTTCCTTATTCTCCGTTTCCCCTGGGTTCCCTTTGTACTGTACATTCGTCACACCAAGCTTCCCAAATAAACTCCCCTTCTTGACGTGTCAAAGTATTGGCAGCTCACATGTAAACTTGATAACTCTAAGCCTGAGAGATTCCAGATTAATTTACTGTAAAGTCCTGATGAAGGGTTTCAGTCCGAAATGTTGACCTTCCTTCTCTGATTCTGTCTGACTGGCTGTGCTTTTCCAGCTCCACTTTTATTGACTCCAATTTACCATAAATCTGTTCAATTGGTACAGCCTCATCGTCTTCCTGACACAAGTATCTGAGGCAAAAAGCAACAGCTTCTTCCTCCTCTACCCCAAAATTCTCTCTCTCTCTCCAAATTTTCTGGCTTTTCTACTCTATTGATGAGGTACTATAAAACCATTCAGTGCAAAACTGCAAATGTCAAACACTAATACCAATTTTCATACTGATCCCTATGGCACTACACTCTCTTGTCTTTTTTAATTCATACTCTGGCTTTGTTGCAAGATTGCCACTTATTGTGCACCCCTGATTTACCTGAGACGTTGCTGGTGAACATTTCCTCTTGATCTACAGAGATCCTCGCCACCTGTAGTTTTGTACTCCTGAAATCTCTAGGAGTTCACTGGCTCTCAGTTTTCTGAGATTTTGTTCCCACTCTCCCAGCTTGTATGACAATCTTCACCCAGGATTCTCAATAAAAAGAACAGTTTGATCGAAAGGCAGCAATTCATGTGTCTAGTCAAATGGAAAGGACCAAACTGATCAGAAATCCAGACAAGGCAGTGACAGCTATGATCAGATTTGTGTTTGAATGTTGGGTAGCTGGTCGGCATGGCAACATAAATATCAAAAACAAACATTGTTGACGTTATTGTAATGTCACAATGCTCAGGCAAGGAATCATGGGATGGTTATGACATCACCGATCCACTGCTAACAACCAGATGTCCTGGATACTGGTTATTATGGGCTGTTTGTACTTCAGAGAGGGCAGTGGGATTAAGACGGAATTGGGGTTTGGAGTTGGAGTCACTGGGGTGATGTTGATGGCCATTGATCCTAATCCCCTCGTTCTCTTGTTTTCTCAGGGGGCTGGACACATGGTACCACAGTGGGCACCAGCACAAGCTTTGAAGATGTTTGAATCTTTCCTCTCCAACTCTGCATACTGATGAGGCTGCTGCCTTGCCTTGAATGCTAATTGCCTACCTTGCTGCCTTATCAGCCTCTTGTTAAATTTTTACCTCTTTTTCTCTTCCAAATGGGATTTTATTGTAGCACAGGGACCAAAGCAAACTGCACCAAACTGACCCAAAGGAAACCAAATCAAAAACACTGAGTAAGAAGGACTAGATTAGAAGAAGTATCAACAATAGTTAATGAAGAATTACTTTTAATAATTAAGAGAACTCCTATGAAATTGCAAGAGAAAGAAATACAGAGGAATATTCAAGAGTTGTGGTACACAAATACCAGGCAATGATCATATCAAACAAGAGAGAATCTAGCAGTGCCCTCAAATGTCAATGGACAATACCATCACTGGACAGTCCACAATCAACATCCTGAGGGTTAGAATTGACCAGAAACTGAACTGCACAAGTCATTTAAATAAAGTGGTTCCAAGAGTCGGGCAGAGGCTAGGAATCCTGCAGTGAGTGACTCCCCTCCTGACTTCCCAAACCTGCCACCATCTACAAGGGATAAGTCAGGAGTGTGATGGAATCTGTTCCACTTCCCTGGATAGGAATAGTTCCAAAAATACCCAAGGAGTTTGACACCATCCAGGACAAAGTCAACTGCCTTAACTTAGACATATGTTGTCCTTCCTTTACTGGGTTATTAGCCTGGAACTCCCTTCTGACAATGCTGTGGGTTTACCTACACCACAAGAACTGCAGTAGTCCAAAAATGCAACTCACTGCTAACTTCCCGAGGGCAATAGATGACCTTGCCAGCAATGCCCACACCTTATGTAAAAATTTGAAAAGAAGCTCATGCTAACTGGGTCTTCTCAGACCTAACTCCATACTGTGTTCTTGGAACTGCCCTTAATGCTCCGAAAGCCCGTGTTTCTGGAGCGATACCTTCACCCTATGCCCATGCTGGTTGTAACTCTATTATTGTGTGACCCTGTCTGGATCTGTGTGTATACACACTGGAAGTCGTGTGTGTAGGCGTTAGCATTTTCGGGTCTAGTGACCTTTCCTCAACCCAAATCATTAACTTTGATTTCTCTCCACAGATGCTGCCAGACTTGCTGAGCTTTTCCAGCAATTTCTGTTTTTGTTTCTGATTTATATCATCCGCAGTTCTTTCGATTTTTATTTGGGAGTATCCTTGGGCCCAGTTCAGCTCAGTTTGGTGCAGTTGCTATTTTGGATAAAAATCCCATTTTGGAATGTTTTTGGTTTTGTAATTTTGGGATTGCTAATCATTGGAATGTCAATCAGTTACCTGAAAGAGCTTTTTAATTTAAAAAAAAAAATTATTTAATGTGATTTTTTTTAACAAAGGCCAGTGACTACTGACTCTGTTCAACAACTTTACCTCCTCCAGAATGGGTGGAGTCCTTTGGTTGCCTTTCAGATGCGTTTCTATGAGAAACTTTATACTTGATATAAGTATATGAGTAATTTGAATCGTAATGTATGGCAGGTTTGAGAGTAAAAGGTAGTTTGTAACCTATGATTCCAAAATTTTCCATCACTGGAGTTTTGTTCACTGATATCTAGGTCTAGTCTCCCATGCAGAGACTGACGGCTATGGTTCATCATTATTGTTGGTTGGAGTCACACCTGGCACCATAGGAAGATAATTGTAGTTGCAGGAGGTCAGTCATTTCAACTCCAGGATATCTCTGCAAGACTTCCTCAGGGTAGTGTCCTAGCTGCTTCATCAATGACCTTCCCTCCATTATAAGGTTAGAAATGGGGATGTGGTTTGCTGACGATTGCGCAATGTTCAGCACCATTCGTGACTCCTCAGATACTGAAGCAGTCCATGGTTAAATGCAACAAGATCCAGACAAAAGTGGATTTGGGCTGACAAGTGGCAGGTAATATTTTGCCAACCGAAGGCCAGGAAATGACCATCTCTGATAAGAAACAATCTAACCACCACCCCATTGACATTCAATGGTGTTACCATCATTAAATCTCCCACTCAACATCTTTGGTGTTACCATTGACCAGAAACTCTGGACTTGCCACACAAACACAGTGGTTACAAGAGCATGTCAGAGGCTAGGAATACTGTGGTGAGTAACTCACTGCCTCACTCCCTAAAGCCTGTCCACCATCTACGAGGCACAAGTCAGGAGTGTGATGGAATACTCCCACTTGCCTGGATGGATGCAGCTCCAACAAAACTCAAGAAGCTTGACACCATCCAGACAAAACAGCCACTTGATTGTTTGCTGATTTATGGTACCAATCACTCCCTCCACCACTGACCCTCAGTAGCAGCAGTGTGTACTATCTACAAGGTGTACTGCAGGAATTTGCCAAAGGCCCTCAGCCAGCACCTTCCAAACCCATGAACACTTCCACCGAGAAGGACAAGGGCAGCAGATATATGGGAACACCACCATCTTCAAGTTCCCCTTCAAGCCTACCCTCCATCCTGACTTGGAAATATATCACTTTTCGTTCAATCTCACTGGGTCAAAATCCTAGAATTCCCTCTCTAATGGCATTGTGAATCAATTCACAGCACATGGACTGTAGCAGTTCAAGAAGGCAGCTCTCCACCACCTTCTCAAGGGCAATTAGTGACAGGCAATAAAAACGCTGGCCCAGCCAGCGATGCCCTTGTTTCACAAATGAGTGTGGACCTGGCTTCAGTGACTTTTGCAGCTGCTTGAAACTGCGTTTAATTCTGGAAAACACCACTATGATATGTATTTGAGGGGGAGCATGAGACAGAACAGGACATTCTGAAGCACAATGACATTTCAAATAAACAAATCATCTAAACTCTACCCTTTCCTTTCTCACTGTGTCTGGATCGAGGAAAACATTGTTAACGTTCCAGGATATTTCTGGAGTTTCCAGGAATTGAAAGTCACTCTCCAGACCACGCATTTATTCATTCTCTGAACATATAGTTTTGTTATTTAACAGGAGGGTAAAGTCTGTCTGACAGTCGGTCCAAATCTGCTGATTGGGCAATGGCAATTACACTTGATTGCTGTTGGGGTCCCAATAAGAGTTAAAATCATCTCCAGTTAATGAGGTGACAGGAGACATCACTATGGACATACAAAATAGGTCCTGAAGTAGACCATTCTGCCCCTTGAGCCTGACAGGTGTTCAATAAGATACCTATGATCTGTTTGTGTTTCAAATTTCAAATTCCATATTCCTATGTATCCCTGATAACCTTGTTTTTCTAACAAGAATCTATCCATTTCTATCATAAAGCTATTCAGTAACTTTGCCCTCATACCCTTCTGAGGCAGAGAGTTCCAAAGTCTCACAACCCTCTAAGAATAAAGAAATTCTGCTCATCTCTGTCCTGAAAGGAAGTACTGTTTTAAAATTAGGGGTCACTCTAGTTCTTGACTGGCCCACAAGAGGAAACCTCCTTTCAATCAATCTGTCCAACCTATCTTCATAAATCACCAGCTTCAAAGAAGATCCTCTGAGACTTTGATAGGAAATTTGCTATTCTGGCTTTGGAGGAGATTGCTGGTTTGTAGGTGAGTATGGATATATTCATTGAAGAGGTAGCTGAGTCACTCTGCTCACCTCAGCAACCTGGAGGCTGGAGATATCCACAAACTCTGACACCTAGCACCCAACATTCCCCTCTTGCTCTTGAGATGATAAAACACAATGTAAAGCTTTTGAGAGTTCAAGCTTTGGTCTTTCACCCTGGGCTCCTGGCCCAGGTTTATCAAACATCTGCATCATTCTGACTGATGATGCCAGTTAGGAAGCAATATGCAATGACTCACAATCATAGGGAACTCACTGACATGCTCCTCACAGAGATATTGTTCCATTCCTCATGATAATCATCCCTTTCTCTTAAATACAAATGTAAACTAATCAAAACCTTAGGCACACTGCGGGCTTGACTTTCTACATGCTGTCTTTGCTGTTGTTGAGCAGGGAACTGGTCAGTGGAGGAACAATTGCAAATTGGTTAAACCACTTTAGGAATTATCAGGGAAGTCTAGTCACTTGTAGAAAATGTGGCAGCCCAACTTGAACACAGCCAGCTCCCCCACAAAAAGGAATGTAATAACACCTGAAAACTCTGTTTTAGTAATGATCTTAACGGATAAAAGTTAGCCAGATCATCAGAGCTGTGAGTAGTGCTACAGGGAAGGGGAAGACTTGCATTGAAAGAGCACTTTTCACAACCACAGACACCACAAAGTATTTTACAGCTAAGTCAGTACTTCTGAAGTGTGCAGCACCCAATTTCCACACAGCAACATCCCATAAACAGCAATGTGATAACGAGCAGCTAATATACTTTCATGATGTTAACTGAAGTTTCAGTCTTGGCTCGGACAAACAAAAAGGGACCCTCGCAATCTGGCTATAACTGCTGCAGCCTTGAGAAGTCCATGTTACAGCCACATTTCATTATTTGAAGAAGTGGGGGGAAGGAGAGGGCTGACCTCAGGTTTTGTTAGCATTTCAGCCCCACTCTCCTGATCTTTGGCCGTTTGGGGTAAGGGGGGGTGCACAAGGCAGGGGACCTCCTTGTAGCTTTGCTCCTGGTCCTGACCCACGTGACCATGAACAGATCCAGGCAATGGGCCATGAGGGAGTTATTTCCAACCGACTGCCTACCTCTCTGTGCGGTAATGCCTATGTTCATGTGTCCCTGGTCGGACAGCATGCAGTGACTGCTGGTACCCTTCAGGCCTTGTATTTATAGAAATAATTTGGATGTGAATATAGGAGGTTTAGTTAGTAAGTTTGCAGATGACACCAAAATTAGTGCTGCAGTGGACGGTGAAGACGTTTATCTCCAAGTACAAAGGGACCTTGATCAGATGGGCCAATGAGTGACAGATGGAATTTAATCTAGATCAAAAAAAGAAGTGCTGCATTTTGGTAAGGAAAACCTGAGCAGGAATTAAACAGTCAATGGTAGCATCCTGGAGCGTATTGCCAAACAAATAGACCTTGGGTGCAGGCTCATAGTTCCTTGTAAGTGGAGGCAGAGGTAGACAAGATACTGCAGAAGGCGTTTGCTCCACCTGCCTTTATTGGTCAGTGCATTGAGTATAGGAGTTAGGACATTATGGTGTGGCTGTACAGGACATTGGTGAGACCACTTTTGGAATACTGTGTTCAATTCTGATCTCTCTGCTATAGGAAAGATGTTGTTAAACTTGAAAGGATTCAGAAAAGATTTACAAGTATGTTGTTGGGGTTGGAGTGTTTGAGCTGTACAGAGAGGCTGAATAGTCTGGGGCTGTTTTCCCTGGAGTATCGGAGGCTGAGGGGTAACCTTACAGAAGTTTATAAAATCATGAGGGGCATGGATAGGGTAAAAAGCCAAGATCTTCTCCCCAGGGTAGGGGAGTCCAAAACAAGAGGGCATAGGTTTAAGGTGAGAGAGGAAAGATTTTAAAGGGACCTAAGGGGCAACTTTTTCAAACAGAGGGTGGTGCGTGTATGGAATAAGCTGCCAGGGGAAGTGGTGGAGGCTGGTAAATTTACAGCATTTTTAAGGCGTCTGGATGGGTACATAAATAGGAAGCATCTAGAGGGATTTGAGCCAGGTGCTGGCAAATGGAACTGGATTAATTTAGGCCATCTGATCAGTGCGGATAAGTTGGACTGAACCATCTGTTTTCATGCTCTATGGCTCTATAACCAGCAGTATCATGGGCTGGACTTTGTTATCAAGCCCCTCCCACAATCAAATTTACATTTAAATTTCACATGCATTTTAATTGTGCACTTTAATGGATTGTTACTGATTAATTTGATTTCAATTTAAGTTTTCTTTTAAAAAGCAAAAGAGCAGGGCTCTTGACTTCAGTTGGGCAGATACCAACTTGTGGTTCAGAAAATGCCATCAGCTTGGGTTTAATTACAGCTGAAATAAAACTGTGACCTTGCCCCTGCTCAAACCAGCACTGTACAAAACCTTGAAAAAAAAGATCCTAGTTTGAACATTGACCAAGAATCTGCGTTTGAAATGAATGAATATGAATAGCTTTCCTGGTCTTAAATATATGGCCATGGTCTCCTATCCACCCGAGTGGAATGACAGGGCCTCTGTTTAATGTTTCTTCCTGAAGAGAGCACTTCCAACAATGCGGCATACACTCAGTACTACACTGGAGTGTCAAGCTGGAGGACAGGCCGAGGTCACTTGAGCAAGGCTTGAGCTGTGACTTTGTGACTCGATGAGAGTGCTACCACTGAGCCTTGGTTGTGATCGGCTTCTCAATACAGAGTGATGATCAAATCCGTGATCCCTCTGGGTTTGTGCAGCTAATTTGCAGCTAGAATGAGACCGCTCCCATTGCCGCAGAAGCAAATATTCCCTCAGCTACAATAAATTGTTTTAGATAAAGGTGAGTCTTGTGAGAAATAGAAAGTTTACTAAAAGTGGAGATCAATTAGACGGCAGTGATTTTCAGTCATTACCTTTGAGAGTCCCACGGTGGGTCACAAACATAGGCCAGCTGACTGGGCCTCAGGGGCTTTTAGAGGAGAGGCCTCCCTGAAAACACAGGCTGGATTACAGCTGTCCACCCACACCTAGTGTCTACAATCTGGAACGTGTGGCTGGAAAGCTGCCCGATTGTGTGGCATTAAACCAAATCTGCTCCACTGTTCAAGAACCACAAATCAGATCTTCCCTGCCTCCTTCAATCACTTCACTGGCAACGCTCTCTTCCCACTCATGGGAGACATTGACAGCATTGGGCCACTAGAGACCATCCTAGGATTTAGGCAAAGGATTTACAACCAAATGAATTAGGGGCAGGAATAGGCCATTCAGCCCTTCAAACCTGCTCTGCCATTCTATAAGACTGCTGTTAATCTGATCTTGGCCCCAACCCTACAGTCCCACCAACCCCTGATAAACTTCAGTACGGATTTGCTGTGGACAGCTTTCCAGAGCCTTCAATAAATTGTTTTAAGGCTGAGTCAAATAGATTCTTGATTAGAGGGAGCCAAAAGATATTGGGGGTCGAGAGAAAGGATTGGCTAGCTAACAGAAGACACAGAGTTGGGATAAATGTTCAGGATGACAACCTGTAATCTGTGGAGTGCCACAGGGATCAGTGCTTGAGTCACAATTATATACAATATAACTGACTTGAATGAGGGATGTGAAAGTACTATAGCCAAGTTTGTGGACGACACAAAAATAGATGGGAGGACAAGTGGTGAGAATGTTATATCCTGCTGTTCCACTGTCTGTGTAATGCCAGAACTATGTTGATGACACATATCCTGCAATAAATGACTGTTATTGACACTCATATTGTGTAATATCAGGGTGACACTAGTTAAGGAGTGGAATGTCAGTGTTGAGATTCTGATGGTTGTGTAACCCGCTGCACTCTGAGGGAAGCAGTGTGCAGGGTTACAAGGGGCTTAAGTGATAAGCAGGGCATTGAGTGACACTTTCAGCCTGTTCCAATGCTTTGGCAGGAGATACAGTGTAGTTACATTCCTACCATGCAACACTGGGGCTGCTGGTTCCACTCCTGTCTGTACTCACTGGGACTGTTTCTTTATTTTCATACCCAGTGCTACAAAGGGGCAAATTAATCTCACTTGAAAGAAGCTAAGAAGTCTGTCCACAGGAGCAGAAGCCCATGGTGAGAACAGGGTAGAGGGGTTGTTTGACACAATTAGAGAACACAGGACAAAGGAATTAGTCTGGGATTGATACAGGGTTACAAGGGGAAGGTGAAATCAGTTTGGGAGTTAGCATACAGACAGTAGATTTCTCCCTTCAATCCCAACCAGAACCCTTTCTCACTTC